TATATATATATATATATATATATATGTTGAGAAACATTCCACAATGTAATGGTAATAAATTATTTTACAGTGACTAAGAAGTGTTAGTGTTGATTTGCTGAAACATACATATGATAGACTCGTTTAAATAAAAAAAGAAAGACACTTAATGTTGGAATACATTTTCAATATAAACAGATGATTTTAAATTAGTCAGATTTTTATTTGCTTTGTAAAAAAAATATATATAATATAAAAATTATCATTATAATTTGTACTGTTTATAATGATATTCCTAATATACTTATTATTTTATTCAAAAATTACAGAAATTTAAAATGAATATACTTACAAGAATACAAAAGTTTTTTTTTTTTTTGAACATTTACACTTTTATTTAATTTTGGTACCATCGCAAATGTTTTATAGATTTGCTAGTATAGTCTAAAAACTGTAAAAGTAAGTTTTTTCCTAAGATTCACTAACCTGTAGTTTTCAGTTTTTTTGTATAAAACTTAAAACATTAATGTTCACTCTACATTGAGGGTGGAATTTTGTCAGTACTTAGTACCATTTTCTTTTGGGTTTCCAAGTGGAGTACTGCTTTGTTTTTGAAAGCCAGAACCAAGTTCCTTTATTTTGTGAAAAAAATTGATACTTCATTATTGTACACAGTGAAGCCAGGTCTTAAAAGTGAATACCTGTACATTTTTAAGGAAAATTTTACCAAAAATATTCTGTTGAAAGTGATTTTAAAATTTAAATAAAATCAACCTTCACCTCCAAACAAAACTTATATTTAGCATTCAACAGGTGTGGTTTCTCATTTAAGCATCTATAATCAAACTCATAAGAGCATTAAGTGACTTAAACCAATTAAAAATAAAGTGACTGGATATCCTGCTTTTGTTATTCTTCCTTGTTTAACTACTATTACCATGAGTTGTCAACTGAAGAGTTTATAGTAACAATAATTAAGGTGGTCACCTTAAGCATACTTGAATTTACCTGACAAAATAAAATATAATTATATGAAAGAAGAAAATGATTTAATTGTTTTAAGTTCAAACTTTTAGTCTTTACCTATAATATTAGAGATCATTGAACACACAATAAACTGTACTGTGAAACGAATTAGTTTGTCTAAAGGTACATATTTACAGTAGCTCCATCCAACATTAAGATTGTTTTTCTTAACAAAGTTCAACTTAGACACAAAAGTTGTTTTTGACCTGTACTGCAAAAATAAACTCCAATATCATTACTTCTAAATTATAATTTTTTTTAAAAGTGGTACCCTTATAAAATTTGTTGATTCAAAAACTGATACAGAATGTACTAATGCGAGAACCAGTGGTTACATTAAGGAATTTCTTTAAACAATTGTTATTTCTCAGTTACGAGTAATGGAATGCAGAAGCAGTGACCAGTACAAAAAAATCTGAATTTGTGTGGTTGACAGTATCAGCTTAATTTATGATGTTTTGCAGAATGGTTCCAGTTTCCTTATGTCCTTATGCATAGTTGATGGAGAAGAGCAGCATATTGTGTTAGTAATATGCATCTTCTTTGATAACTTTTATTTAACATACAACTTTAGTGAATGTAAATTCAAAGCTTATTTTTAAGCCCCTGCTTCCAGACTAAATGGAAGCTAAAAATTGAGCTTTGAACTCGTACTTAGTCTCGGGAAAAAAAAAATCTACTTTTATGTGAAAAAAACACCCAAGTTTTAAAAAAGATTATTTTGAAAGTATAACTGTAATAATAAGATTAGTTAACATAGTATAAAAGGCTAATGAAAAATTTTCAATTTGGTCTATGTTACAGCTTGATTTTTGTTATGAATGTTCCACAAAGTATTTTGGCTTTGAAATTTTTTTTTTACTCTTTATATGGTTTTTGTTATTGTTAAGAAACTAGATTTGTATGTTTATATATATATTTGTTAAATACTTTAACTGGTAATTCATTTAATGTATAAATTTGGCTAGCTATACACTGAGTAGACATCAGTACTAGAAGCTGATTGTCTGGTGATTCTTAGTTGTATTTTAACTATTATATGTCATCATGTAGGAGTGATTCATGTTTTTTTACTCCTTTAACTCTTCGCAGCATAATAGTTATGCATAATATATGTATATTGGTTTAACTTAAGATATTGGTCCAGAAGGAAGCTAAGTTTCTTATGCCTTAGTTACCCATTATACTAGGTCATTCATTTGTGATGTCACGTGTACTTTATTATGGGAAATATCGCTGTAAAGTCAGTCATACTATGTAGAAGTGAACACTAAACTTTTCTACTGGCAGAACAGGTGATAATTCTAGGAAGGTCCTCTCTTATTTTTAGATAGGAATGACCAACAGTCATGGGTAGCATTATTGTTTCATGTATATAACAGTATGTTTTCTCAGTTTGGAACGGATAGAGGAGAAGATTTTTCTAGGCAAAACAACAAACTTGGACTTGTTTTCTCTAATAAAAAGGTGCCATTCTTCTTTAAAAACACACACACACACACACACACATACCCATTGTCTTTGTGTTGTGTTGGTGGAATAAATAAAGACTGTATTTCATTGTTTCCAGACTCTCTTATGTTACACAAGTTCAGTCGCATTTTCTGATCAAACCTCTAGTTATTCTGCAGATTTTACCTTATTACTCATAGGGGAAATCAATGCACCTGAGAATAACACATAATAGGTAGGAAGGAGAAAATTTGGTGCTGTGGACACAGGATTTACTTTTGTAGAGTTTTCTATTCTTTCTTCCTCTCCTTGAGAGCATTTTCCTGGGTTTTTATTAACTTTCATTTTATTTAATTTATATAGGTTTTGTACTTTAGGAAATGGCATTTTCCACATGTGAAAAGACTTATGGCCAAGGGAAAGAGTTAAAGACTGAGGGAAGATGGCTGCTACAGAGAATTGTCAGGTGTTTTAGAAGTTCTTCCTCTAAGAATTGCTCTCAGTGTGTAGGAAGCATGGATGACTGGGGATCATGACAATGATATGCAGCTTGGCTGATCCAAGACTGAATAGAACAATCTCTACAGGATTATCAAGCCTTCACCAACCAGGGTAACCTAACCCCAGCTCTGATTGAAGTCACCTAAGACCAGCTGAGAGAGAGAAACTGCTGGTTGATGACATTTGCTAATTAGAACTGTTTTACAAGCAGGGGGAGACAACAAACTTCTATTAATGAAATACAGTCTATGGGCAGTCATGAGCCTCAATGTGCTGGAAGGTATGCTGCCAGAGAAATCATGGATCATGCAGAAATCTGTGATCATGTGGAACCAGTAGATGAGCTGACTACAGTAACTCGTGATAGTGCTCGTCCAAGCGCAGAGGCCTCCCAACAATGTACACTAGACTGCACTATCAGCATTTAGATGTTTCAGCCTGGTCTGGGCATGAAAGTCTCATGGAAAATAGTTTGTGCCACCACTACAAGCACCTGTGAGTAAGACAAAAAAAAACAATTTCACCATGATATTTAAGGACATGGCCAAAGAAGATCTGGATCATTTCCTGAAGTGTTTCAAGTAGGTCACTGTCTCGCTGTACTTGGGAATAAGCTATGCACTGCCTGATCCTGAGTCTGGGTTGTCCAGCCTTGACCCAATCAGTCACTTGGACAAAGATCAACTTTGGGACTGGAATACAATCATATCCAAATTGTGTCAATGGCTCAACTCTGTGGAGAACCGAGCTATCCATTGTTCCAAGTTCAAGGCTTGAAAGAGGAGCCCCCATCAAGAGCTTGGCCACTTAGGCAGATGATCTGTACCATTTGCATGTGAAGAAATACCCTGTAATGGCTTTGGTAGATTGTGAGGACATCCTAGTCATCAAGTTCATCCCTAACAAGATATTGAGGTATCACTTGCGTGTGAGAGACATTCTCACCTTGATAAAGGCAGTTTCTGTCATGACTTAATTTGAATTCATGACTGAACACATTGAAAGGGAAGAAAATGTCAGCAGAGGTTGTTGAAGTGGTTGTGTCTCAGACAGACTACCAGACTGAAATGTGTGCCTCATGTTTAGCTTTGACAAAGGGTATCCAGCAGATGACACAACTCTGTGATGCACCACAACCTTACTGCATACAGGCAAGTGAACAGGACTTCCCCAGGCCCTCCTGAAAGATTTATGCCATAGCAGATGCCAATGATACCTCCACCCAGATGTTGCTCTGGAAGAAAAGACCAAAGGGTCTCATTTGGGTGTGGACGGTTAAGGCACTTTATAGTTCACTGCCCACTTCTTGTTCCGTATTGAGTTAGGCAAGACCTCTAGTTTTGCCTGACTGCACAGCATTTGCAGGAAATCCAGCAGTGAGATATAAGTGCTGCCACTTCAGTTTTAGAAAACTAGTGGAATCCAAGTTGGGCTTGGCTATCAGCTTTGGGTAGTGCAGCAAACATTTTGTGCACCTGATGGCTTGATGGTGCTTGGTATATACCAGTAAAAATATAGAAGCAAGAGATTGAGTTCTTTATCAATCTAGTAGCAATCAAAACACATGATATATCAGGAACTTTAAGTGAAGTCACAATTTTCATCAGTCAACAGACTTTCTTCTGGTGAATGGTGTAAACTAGGTAAGACTGTGAACAACC